CTTGCAGTTATTTTGGACTAGACTCTAACTCCATTTTACATGTAACACACCAGTGTACTATTTTTTGTACAAATGCAATTACTGTGACAAATTAAGGGAAGACTGTACTTTGATAAGAATTTTACCAAAAGTTGTTTACCATTTCAAAAAATGGCATCACACATCAAAGTCCTCATGCTGTGTATGAATTACCAATACATCGCATCAGTCTACATTTGCAGCTACCTCACCCACAGTGACTCTATGTAAATGTGCACTATCGCAGGTCTTCTAGTGTAGTTATGTCCAAGAATTTACACACTGGTGTGATTTCATTTAAATTTTCTCTTGTTTCTTCTTTATATATTTATGTAAGCATACACAAGTTATACTATGCAAACACTTTTTTCAAACATTTTATTTAGAAGATATTTGTAGTAAAAATGCAGGCGACAGGTCTGATAGTACTGACAAGTACTAGCCTACATCATCAGGCACCCTGCTGCTACTCCCCTGACCTCCCCTTTACTGCACCATCTACTCCAAACACACAGGCTCCTTGCTGGAACTCCGACACCAGGCACTCTCCTGCTCCAGAGCCTCTGCACTTGCTGTCTACAGTCTGCTTCCTCGGATACCTGAATGCTTCCTTTCTTACTTCCTTTGCTCAAAAGTAACTTTCCCAGAGAGGGCTCCCCTGACCATCTTATTTGAAATTTCAGGCACCCCTCCCATGCACTCCCTTCACAGCTAATTCCCTTTTGATGTACCAGGAACGTATCATATATATTTATTTGTGCATTGTTAACACCCACTGGAAGGTATGCACTGTGCAGGAATTGTGTCTGTTTTGTTCCCTGAATTCCCAGTGCCTAGAGTACTGCCTGGCACACAGGAGGCACTCAGTGAGTATCTTTAGAATATAGCAGTGAATTAGTGGATTTACAGGGAATAAAATGTAGCACATTACTTAGTTCCACATTAAGCAATAACAGAACTCACAATAATGAAAACTTTTATGATAAACTCAAGATAAACAAAGGGAGATAAATTATGGCTATAAGATAGAATGAAAATGTTATTGGACCTATATAACATTAAAAAGAAAAATATAGTTAATATCAGTTTGAAAGTAGAAGAGTAAGGTGTATGAGTATTTTTATCTTATATGGTAAGAAATCAAGACATACCATCTAAAATTAGTAGAACAATACTTTTTATGAGTATAAAAAACAGAAAAACTAAAAATAATCTAATCCCAAAAATCTGGGCAAAGAAGGGTCAAACAGAAGACGGAAGGACATGAAATGTAGGTTAAATCACCCCTTCGTTATAGTGGATGGTAAACATGGGTAAATAAGAAAAGGCAAACTGTATTACCTAATGAAGTTAAAATATGACCAGTGGTAGAAACAGAAAAATAGTTAAAAGTGATACTAGGGAGTGGAATTAGGGGTAGAAAAGATGTTTTTTTTAACCATAAAGATATATTACTTCGATAAAAAATTTAAGTTTAAATTATAGTCCACATTTTTAATAAACTATCTTTTAATTCACATATCATGGTATAAAATTATAATATAGTGCTTAAGAACATAACCCTCTAAATCTAGACCAGTGGAGTTCAAGTCCTGGCTTAAAATAATCAGGTTATTACCAACAATTCCCTAACAATACCTGTAACAAAAACCTTACTTCATATAATGCCACAAAGAAGGTAAGTTCTTAAGAGTTACTGGTTAGAGTTGAAAATTCTTTGCAAAATATACAGCAAATCATGAGTGACTGAAGTGCTCTGGATGAATAAACCATTAATATTTCACAATTTATGTTAAGAAACTTATCTGAAATATTGCTCTGACCCAAAGACATGTTTCTCCAAATTTTTAATGTTTCAGACAGAAGAGCAAATTATGATGCAGTTGTCATTGCCAGTACGCTAGCAAACTTAGAAATGAATACAATGTATCTGTCCAACCACCTGTCACTTTGGTTGATTTATTCATTGGTAACAATATGGGTGTTCTTAGTATCACTGTGCTTATACCTACAAATGGTTAGAATGATAAATGTTATGTTATGTATATTTTACCACAGTAAAATAAATAATGGTTTCCCATTACCCTCAACATTCAAAGTCCTTAGTGGGGCCTACAAAGTCCTGCCTGATGGCTTTCCAGGTTCATCTCGTACAACTTCATACCCTACAGTCTCCCCGTAGCTCCTTGCTATCATTCTTTCCTCCCTGCATCGGGGTTTTGTGTGTGCACACTTTCCATAATGCAGACATGCTCTGCAAATCCATTCCTACACAATCTTTAGATATCAGGCCAAATTTTATTTTCTCAGCAAAGCCTTCCCTGACCCTATAGTCTGTATCATACTTTGTCACATGCTCTTACAAAACCAGATTCCCTTTTGTTAAAAAGCATTTGTATCAGTTTGTAATATTATTAATGTGAATATCTCATTAAAGTCTGTCTCCCACACAAGGAGACTATGACCTCCACAGAGCAAGAACTGTGTCTCTTTTCCTTACTTAGTATGTCTGGCACATAGCAGGTATTCAAAGAAATTTACTGAATACAGGAATATATATCTACCTTTTTCTTTTCTAATAGCAGCAAAAAATTCCATTTAACAAGTGCCGTAATTTCTTTATTCAATCACAGAATGATGGGCATTTGTTTCCAGATTTTTGCTTTTACAAACAATGCCAGGATGACCACTTAAGGCAGTATATCTGAAGTGTACAGTAAAATTGCTGGTCAAATACATTTAAAAAGTACATTTAAAAGTTTTAACTGATATTTAAAAATTGCTCTCCTAATTATAATTTACACTCTAAATAACCAACAGTATATAATAGTGCTCCTTTCCATACTTAATTCTCAACTTTCATAACCAAAATGTGCCAACTTCTTGGGGCGGGAGAGGTAGTAGAGAAGAGTATTAGTTTTTATGTTTCGGAGGTGTTTTTTTTCTTTTCACATTACACTGAACATTAAAAGTGAAAATGTTTATTATTCCTATAAAAGAAGTTTCAGCAAGTGAGTTAAATAAACAAAGCTAAGTGATTAAGAAAATGCTGTTACTGACACTGAAAAAATGTATTTTCAAACCACGTATTTATTTAACCTATAGATTATAGAAATCCCTTTTCCTGTCATATAGATTTTTTGTTTCTGAAGCTTTAGTCCATGTTTTAATTAATAATACTGAAGCAGTAAAAAGGAGAAGAAAAATTACAAACATACTCACACAAAAGGTTATAAAATAGCAAAAAATTTTACATTTTATGTTAAGCTCAATTTTTCCTCAAGAGATTAACATTTTGGACAAGTTTCCTGTATTTATGCCCCCCATACTAATACATTATCCACAGTGTGCTTATATAATTATAAATTGTTTCTTCTCACCAAACAGTATGGCATGTACATTTCTTCTATCTCCTTAAATTCTAGGTTGGCCAAAAAGTTCATTAAGTTTTTTCCATACAATGGCTTTAGTAGCACTTAGCTGTTTTTAACTTCATTCAATATTATTTTGTTAGACTGTATTGTGACAGCTGTCATATCAACATGCATTTAAAAAAACTTATCAAAGTTGATGAATTTTTGTGCAGCCATTTTAATACTGAAGATGGAAGAATGTGCAACATTTTAGCATATTATGCTTTATTATTCTAAGAAAGGTAAAATGCCACTCAAATGCAAAAAAAGATTTGTGCAGAGTGTGGAGAGGGTGCTGTGACTGACTGAAAGTGTCCAAAAGTGGTTTGTGAAGTTTCTTGGTACTACTGACATTTTGGCCAAATTATTCCTTGCTGTGGGGCTGACTTACGCACTGGAAGATGTTTAGGGGCACCCCTGGCCTCTACCCACTAGAAGCCAAAGGCAGGAGATGGCCGACATACTCAAAATACCCAAATCAATAAAGTTATTGGTGAAAATAAAAAATGTGTCTTTCATTTTACCAAAAAAACTAAACGGACTTTCTGGCCAAGCCAGTATGACCTCTCTTCTCCAGAACCGCAAGGAGCAGTGAGAAAAAGCTGTATAACACCCACTATGTTCTCAACCTTTGAGCTTCCATTTCTTGTTCTGACAAACGAAGGTATTAGTTAAACAACCTCTACATGATTAAAAATTATAAGATTAATGAGAAAATCCCTTTTGAATGAACCCTTCTGAGTTTTTCTAGAACACACCAGGCCTGTCTTTAAGAAAGCAGACTCTCCCTACTTCTGTCCTTCCTCTTAGTAAGCATATCCCACTGAAAGTAATTTAACTCTTGATAACTCAGGATCATTGCTCTCACCAGAAGTGGTCTTATTTGTGCTTATTCCAGATTTACACTACATTACATACCTTCTCGTATATTTAAACCTTGGATTGCCATATGAATAAAAAACTATTATCCCAAATTAAAAATTTTGGTTTAGGGAACCAATGAATAAATGCCATGAATAGGTATCCCTTTATAGAGCAAATCTCAAAATCTGAAACCAGTATTTCCAGTTTTCTGTCAAGTATCATTGCTCATTTATTCCTTGAAGGATTTAAGTACTTCCATCAGCTTAAAAGAGATCTCAGCTTGAGAAAATAATGTGACAAAGCCACATAAAAGAGACATCCTCTTTAAATATAGAGAGAAGCCACTTGCCTTAACCAGTGTGGCTTAGCTGGCTGGGCATCGTGCCACAAAGCAAAAGGCCATCAGTTCGATTCCCAGTCAGGGCACATGCTTTGGTTGTGGGTTCAGTCCCCTCTCAGGGCACATACAAAATGTTTCTCTTTCACATCAATGTTTTTCTCCCTCCCTTCCACTCCCTCTAAAAGTAAACAAAGTCTTAAAAATAAATATAAAGAGAAAAATGACTAATTATAATCTATTTTATTACTATGAAGATATTGGTTTTTGGAGGGTTTTCTTTTAACTGTCCTAATTGATGGTACTTCACACACAAGAGACTGTCCATTCTCTTCCATGTACAGATTCCTAGCAACACGATCTTTTACCTTAACCGGGAAGCTGCATCTGCCAGTACGGACCCCTTCTTCATCTGTCTGCCACTGGTGCGGACGACTGGCCTCCGGAACATAAACATCTTTCTTTCTCCTAAAACTTTGCCGTAGTTTGTTCATTTTAATTTCTACAACCTGTGGACAGAATTAAAGAAATATGAAAGAGAAGTTATTACCTTCTCATATATTTAAACTTTGGATTATAATACTAATAAAAAACTGAAGTCCCAAAGTAAAGATTTTGCTTTGGGGGAAAATAAATAATTAGTACACTTTCTCTTAGAGTAACTCTGAGCTCTAACAAATCATTTCACATTTTGAAGACAATTATAATATTAGTCTTGTAACACAACAATAACATCTTAGGATTTGAAAAGATGCTATTCTGAGAGCTTTCAAGCACTTTAATTGTAATAATCCAATGAGTATCCCTAATCTACCCCTCAAATCTATTCTCACTCCTGACAATGAAAATTTGTACATAGAGGCCAAATTATAGACTCCATGTACGTAACAATGTCTGAAAACTTTCATACTTATTAGGAAAAAGACCATTCTGAAACAATGAGATTTGGGGACCATTTTGGCTTGCTACTTGAAGACACTAAGCAAAGCAGGGACTACAATCACCTTTTATAAAAACCTATTTTACAAAAAGGAATAAATAAAGTTTCCTTTAGACATGCTTAAAGAAGACAATTTTTACTAGGATAAAATTATTCTAAAGAAGAATTTTTTTGCAAGCACTGTAACATCAAAATGTACTTTCTCTCTATAATCATAGATATGAAAGTAGTCCAAGTCTCATCATTAACTCTGTAAATTAATAAGTATTAAACTATAGTCATTTTTTGTTTTATTACTGAAAGAGGCACTTCTCTAATGCTTTCAAAGGTGCAGCAGAAATCACAAAACTACAAAGGAAGACCTAACTGATAAACAACAGAACATTCAAGAACCAATGAGTAAACGTAGTGAATAAGTGTCCCTTTACAGAGCACATCTCCAAACCTAAAACCAATGTCTCCAGTTTTTTGTTAAGCAGCACTGCTCATTCTTTTAAGCACCTCCACCAGCCTAAAAGAAATTTTAAGTTGAGGGAATGAGTGACAAAGCTACATAAAGGAAACATCCTTTCTGCCAGGAGTGTTAAATAGCAAGGGATTGCACATTAATTCCCACATGACACCAATTAAAGACTTGAAAATCAAAGTGTGCATTCTGAGGAAAATCATTTTGTACGTTAAAATGCATTAGTGCCACAGCAGAACTATTATCAAATTAGCTACTTTACACAGACAAGTCAATCTTAACCACAGATTTTCTCTAAAAGTAAAAATTCTGACAGACAAATATGACAATGGAAAGATCTCTGGATTTCCCAAAAATAAATGTATCATTACTCAATTCAAAACTGATTCACAGAACATATTAGGTAGATGTTAAATAAACAAAGGACTGGACAAAAAGGTAGGCCATTCCTCTGCCTTGAAGGAGATCACTCATTCCCAAACTAAGCTAAATGAGAGTCTACTGCAACCTAACAGACTTCCCAAAAGAATTCCACCGCCTTCCTTGATAATACATCCTGTTACTCTTTCTTGTCACATTTTAAAAATATACACATATACGAATGCAAGAAAATGAAAAGCACCTATGAGCCCTTGCTCAAGTTGGCACACTAAGCTTTCAGCAAAAAGCCACTTGAGTTCTTCACTTCATTCTCTTAGCGAAACAGACTGCCCTCCTACCCAGCTAGTCAAGCCGACACCTGAGAGCATCTCTGCACTCGCCCTTTCTCTGACCGGCGGCTTCTCCTGATTCTACCTCCTCAGTGTATCTCTGACTCGGTCCCCTACTACCACCACCACGTTACTCCTACTAGCCTTAGACACTTTTGCTTAAATTATTGCAAAAGCCTTTTTACGTAATGGCCCCTTTGCTTCCCCTCTTGGGGAAGACCAAGACCCCTCTTGGTCTTTCCAGTCTGCTCTCCTGACTACTGCCAGAGTGCTTTCTAAAACACAAATCTCAGCCCTGGCTGGTGTAGCTCAGTGGATTGAGCATGGGCCTGTGAAGTAAAGGGTCACTGGTTCGATTCCCAGTCAGGGCACATGCCTGGGTTGTAGACCAGGTCCCCAGTAGGAGACACATGAGAGGCAACCACACACTGATGTTTCTCTCCCACTCTTCTTCCCTTCCCCTCTCTCTAAAAATAAATAAAATATTTTTTAAAATAACAAAAATAAAACACAAATCTGACTGTGCAATTACTCTGCTTAAAATCCTTCAATTGCTTCACTTTACTTTCAAGATAAAGTCCAAATTCCTAAGCATGACAAACACAGTCCTTTACATCTGGCTTCACTCACCAATCTCACCAGTCCCCATTCATACGCCAAACTCTGGCCTCTAAACAACGCAGGCCCTCTTTCAGAGCTTCATATAGCTCTTCCTCTGCTTAGAAAGACCTTCTCCTATTTGCCTCTGGTTGAACTCCATTCATCTTTAAAGAGTCAGTTCAGGAGTCTCCAAGGAAGCTGGCGTTTTTTTCTCACAAGCCTCTCTGGCCTGGGTTGGTTCCTTCCATTTCATATGATTCCCATTAACACCTACTGCTTACTTCTGTAACTATACTCACCAAAAACTCATGGCAATTTTCTGTTTCCTTAATGTCAGACTATATTTTTCTTTAAATAGTACCCTTGTATCCTAACATAGTGCCTATCATACACATGGCATATTATAAATCTAAAGAAACAAAAGATAAAACAGATCTCCCCATCATATTAGATGATATTTACTAAGTAGGGTAAAAGGAGACATGTAAGACCAGAGAATCATCAGTGTTGGAAGACAATGAAGATGTAATAATAGGCCAACCTCTCTCTGACAAAGAAGGAACTTTGACAACAACTTCCCTTAAAGAAAGACATCCAACCTATATCCCTGTTATGACGATCTCCCAATCATGCTTTTAGGTCTTGTTTTCTTACTCAAGTTTCTATATTTGAGTACACGGATGTCGCCTCAAATACATTAATTTAGAATTAAATCATCACCTCTTATTAAAAAAAATTATCATCCAAGGATTTGTTTTTATTGATTCTTAGGGAGGGAGAGAGAAAGGGGGAAGAAGGGAGAGAGGAGAGATGGGGTAGAGAGAGGGGGAGAGAGACAGAGGCGAGAGACAGGGTGAGAGAGAGAGAACATTAATCAGTTGCCTCCCATATGCACCCCAACTGAGGACTGAACCTGCCACCTACGTATGTGCCCTGACCCCCCAACCTGCATCACACCCAACCTTTTGCTGTATGGGACAATGCTCCAACCAAATGAGCAACCTGGCTAGGACAAATCATCACCTCTTACCTCCTATTCCTTAAGTCCTACCCCTTTGACTCGATCTGTTTGAGTCAGTAAAAACTATTTGAGAACTTACTATGTGCTGAGCAATACTGTTAATGCTGGTGGGTACAGAAATCAGTAAGATAATTTGCCTTTAGGTGGTTCCCTCCCCTCATAAAAGGTTAATTTCTGCACAACGCGATGACTATAATAATAGCACTACACAGAGTACGGTCTGGCAGCACAGTCTAGGCTCAGGATACCTTTAATATAGGGGATACTGCCCAAGTTAAGTTTTAAAGGAAGAACAAAAAGCCACATGCAGTGGGGAACAGGAGAGAAAAGATATTTCAGGTAGAGGCAACAGCATCAACAAGAAGAGATAAAGGAAATTGAACACTGGGCAGCAATGCAAGAAAAGGAGTGCAAACCAAGGCTGAAAGAGTAGGTAAGGATCAGGTCTTGATTTTTATCCTATAGACAACAGGAAGCCACTAAAGGTTTAAAACCTTTGGTGACATGGTAAGAGTTGCAGTATAATTAGGTTACTCTGGTGGCAGTATGGAAAACAAATTTGACAGGGAAAAGACTGTCAAATTAGAAGGCTTAGAAATAGTCTAGAGAGTTAGAAGTCTAGATGAGTTAGAAGGCTTTTAAAATAGTCTAGACAAGTTATGACGACAGACTCAACTAGGGCAGTGGTGGTGGTGTGGGAGAAAAAAGGGGGGCTGAAGAAAAGTTTAGAAAATAAGAGTAGCAATGAGAACTAAGTCAAATCCCAAGATGGTAAGGCTATCAACTAATAATCAGCTACGCTGTTTGCTTCAGCAAATTCTTGCCAACTAATTTATCTGGGCAAACAGCACCCCTGAAACAAGTTTGCTTCAAGACCCTTTCCTTGTGTCTACGACTCCTAAATCCTTTGTCACAAACTCTGCTCTCCCAACCAGCGCCCCGCCTTGAAGGACCTACTTAAACCATGTGAGTCCAGGTTATAAGACCCTAGAAATACCCTTTCCTAACTTTCCCTACCTACCAGACTCTGTCAAAGTGGTGCTCTTCCTTGCTGCAGTGGGGAAAGTCAATAGGAGGAATTGGTGATTGATAATGAAAGGTGAGAAAGGGGGAAAAATCCAAATATGACTCCTACATTTTAGGCCTCAGAAAGCTGGATAGATGAGTTCAGCAAACTGAGCTGCTGAATTTGAGGGGCTTGATTATAGAGCTTCCGGGTGGAGATGTGTGTAAGCATGAAGTTCAAGGGAGGGAGATCAGGTAAATCATTATAGGTAAAACTTTTCTTGTGATGATCTCTTATTATCTCTCTTTTTTCTTAAGAGGATTTAGGATACAGTAAACAGAATTAAGCCCAACACACTGAAAAATAAACAAAGGTACACACACCATATAATTAGTTAGTATGTGCTGTACTAATATACCCATGTCAGTAATTACCTTTTTGCAATGCTTCCGTTCTAGATAGTAAACTGGCTGAGCCTCTCTCCTAGGATCTGCCCTTTGATCTTCCACAATCCAACAACAGGTTACTACCTGGTTTAACAGAGCACTAAAGCCAGTGAATGTTTTGACTGGTAACAGTCCAAGTCAAATTCCAAAAGTCCCATCCCTCTCAAGCATAGTTGCTGGCTTCCTTCAAGGTCCCCAGAAGGTTGGCCTGCCTTCACTGGCCCTCACCCAACCTCAAGTGGGCACAGAGAGGAACATACAATGGTACTCACCAGCCCTCGACCGTGTCCACCATGGTTCTTAACGTTAGCCCCCATCAT